AATCCCAAATCCGCTGCCTTTGTGCATGGAGTTTGCATGTTTTCCCTTAGCATGCGTGGCTTTTTTCTGAGTTTCTTGGTAAATGGCAGCACCTTCTAGGGTTCTACAACCCGCACCCCCAAGGCACTTTACAGCTAACCGGTCATTCCAGCAGCAGGTGAGGTGGAGTTTTAGGTTGTTTGGCTTTATCATTTTGAACCCAGTACCGGCTAGCACCCCAGGGCTTTGTATCCAACATACTCTGCTAGCCGTACACACACTCAGCAGCTTGACAGGAGTGCTTACTGCAGCAGTTTGCTGTGTTCACTAACCCAGTTAACAGTGATTTAAGGTCAATACACTTTCACCTTCTCACTTCTACTAAGTAAACAATAGATTTGTCTCTTCCTGCCAAATCATTGGTGACGTAAAGACTTTTTGTATATATATATTTTTAACCTTCAGGTTTTAGGTCTTGTATTGAATAAACAAGTGTTTTAAATTAGCTCTGTATAAATGTATAAAATACCACACACAGTTGATCCTGGTCCTGAAATCTCAGGCAGAAGTGATGGAGACCCAGTCAGATGACACACAATGCTAAAAACAGTCACGGGTGACTTGCATTGATTGTTTCATTAGATTGCAAAGGTTTGCTGGCAAACTAGAACTGTGGAAAAGTCTATTTCTGGAATATTTTACTGCAAATCAATATATTTTAAAATATGTTGTGGAAAATACAGAATTATTTAAGAATGCTTCAGTTGATTTTGTGGGAAAGAGCTCCTGCATTTTAAAATGAATAGTATAAATACATTTTTAGAAGGTTTTGATGCTTTGAAGTGTATTTTAAATCAGCAACTCCCCTATTTGACCCAACCTCTCCGACTGGGAGGAAAGTTTGGACTCCCTACATGAGTGTTTAACTGATGTTTGCTGAAAGTGCATTTTTCATTTAAATCACAAGTAGTAGTAGATTTGTGAATTTCCAGTTTGTATGCATAAGATTAGTATGCAGACAGAGATGATGGATTGTCAAAAGACATAAAGTTATACTCAGTCAGATCAAACACAGAGTTTCAGGTAATTCTAAACTGGATTCCACCTGATGCATTTAATCTTACTTTACTATCCATTTATTTATTTCTGGGTGCTTATCCGGAGTCGAGTCTCGGGGGCAGCAGCCTAAGCAGAGAGGCCCAGACTTCCCTCTCCCCTGACACTTGGGCCAGCTCCTCCAGGTGAATCCCAAGACGTTTCCTGGCCATCCAACAGTCTCTCCAGCGTGTCCTGGGTCTTCCTTTAGGTCTCCTCCCAGTTGGACGTGCTTGGAAATTCTCACCAAGGAGGCGTCCAGGAGGCATCCTAACCAAATGCCCGAGCCACCTCAACTGGCTCCTCTCAATCTTACTTCACCATTCAATTTAACTGCTCTATTCTAAATTTTGCCATAAAAAAAATTCAATGAAAAGGAATATTGTGGATTTTAGAAAAAGGCAGAAACGTTTCTGACATCATCGGTGTTACAAATTGAATATGTTTTCATGTAAATACTCTAGTGATGGCAAAGAAACATGGTACATGTCAGAGTGTGTAAAACTAGAAAGTGCCGTCAATCTGCCAGTGGTCAGAATAATTTTATCTGTTTCGCTGTTTATCGTAATTTTGCCAAATCAGCTTTAAAAACAATTTAAGTGGAAGAAGCTTTATGTAGCACCTTTCACTGATGAAAGCAAAACAAACAAAAATACAATCACAAATAGGGTTGTCACGGTGTAAAAATTTAACCTCACGGTTATTGTGACCAAAATTACCACGGTTTTCTGTATTATCGCGGTATTTTTTTAAACGTGCTTCATGTTCACACAATTAAATAAACCCTGTATGTCAGGAAATATTGTCCTCAGTTTGTGTCTAAATGTTGCCTAAAATGTGTTATTTTGTAATTATGTTGTTTATTTGTTTACATTTTTCCCCTTTAGTCTTTAAAATACCAATATTTGCCCATAACTTCTTATTTTTTGTCTGTTTGATGTCATCATTTTAAAAATATTAGATCAGGTGATACTCAGTACTCAAGTAGCCTTCTAATCAGATACTTTTTTACCCTTACTTGAGTAATAAACCTTATATCAGGAAAATATTGTCCTCGGTTTGTGTCCTTCCAGTGACCTTTGACCTTTGCAGATGTGGGAAAATGTCATCAGGCAGTAATCATTGTTAAATTCATAATTATTCTCGGAGAGAGACCAACTCTTATCTGCCCCTGGGAGCCCCGTAATGCATAGCGTCATTTCAACATGGCGGTGTCCGTGACACTGTTCATATGCAGGTAGCGGCGCTGCGGCTGCTTTATATAGCGACTCGTTGCATTCTCACTCGACCCAAATCCTCGGATCACGCATTTTAGCTAAAACACTAACGTTAGCTTGCCTTGCGTTGACTGTAGAGTTGTGGGTGATGGTCACGCAGATGTGTCATGAGATTTGAAGCGTTGCTGCCTTTCACAGACACTTTTTCTGCTCGTGCTGCAAACAGGATAGCCGTCTTCTATCAACTGTCCCTCGGCATTCTTCAAATATCCAAAAGATGCCTGTACTTCCCACTTTGTCTTCTTTGAGGGATAAAAAATGTCCTTCTGAGCGCTGCTGTCTCCTCCTTTGGCCATTATTTCAGCTTTAGCTTCAAGAAAGTTTTGGTTGTAAAGAACAAAGCGCGCATGTGCTGCCGGCAACTTCAGCAGATGATACGGTGGCTGGTAAGGGTCACCGCGCCTACACCGCAGCCACGGTAAACCCACCAAGGTAATATAGTTTTTTTAAAAACAAGACGGTTATTATTATTGTCGACGTTTTTACCGGGGTTTACCGCTACACCGGTTACCGTGACAACCCTAATCACAAATAAGACAAAATCATATTTTTAGGAGACAGTCAGCTAAAAGCATGTCTAAATAAAAACATCATCAGTTGCTTTTGTATAGGAGTCAATAGAGTCAGCCTTTTGAAGAGCGGTTAGCAGGGCATTTTGGGACCACAGCCTGAAATGACATGTCTCACCAGGTTTGAACAAGGGTCTTGTAGGGACCATATGACGGTTCTGGCCCGAGGACTCAAGCAAGCAATCAGCGGTGTATGGGTAGCCTAGCAACCCATCCTATTGATATAAAGTCCGGCCAGGAGCAATGGCAATGGCTGCAATAGGACCAACCAGAGCAACAACAAACATGATGTATTAATCTCTACGAATGCCAGTCAACAGGGCAGTCTGCCACACACCTCAAAAAAGAAGCAAATACGTCCTTTTTTTTAAATGAATGACTTGAGTACCTCTTTCTGCTCATGTCTTAAATAAAGGTTCAAGCCTAATGATTCAAAGTCTTTTCAAACTAGTGCAACTCCTGGGCTGATGCCATCTTTGTAGTTTTTTGATGTGCTTTTTAGTCTGTATCTGCTGCCTCTGGGGTCCATCTTCATGAAACATAAAATTGTCTCCATTGCTATGCGGATGACATGCAGCTGTATTTGCCCCTAAGACGGAAGGATGGCTACAGCGTCAAATCTCTAGCTGTTTGCTTGGACGAAATCAAATCTTGGATGGCTTAGAACTTTCTAAATTTGAATGAGACGATTTATATGGAGATCTTAAATTTCAGTAAGGGTTTACCAACATTTCGAGCTGTTTTTACAATCCTTTTTTATATGTAGACATATTATTGATATTGTTCTTTTGTTATTTGATTTTTGCACTAATTTAAATATGTTCTTTTTTCTAGCTGTCATTTCTTCATCGCATTAGTCACGTTTAGCCAGTCCACCTGTTTATAATAGTTGTCTGGGGGCACCAGCAGCCTGTTTGGTGCTGCATGTGCTTACGAAGCTGTTCTCTTCCACACTCTGTGGCCCTCTAAATGTTTTGACAGCTGGCCCTGATAGTGTACTATTTTAAGGCAGTTTGTGTGTGTGAGTGTGTGTGTCTCTCTGCTGTCTTGTGGGCACACACTGTAAGTGTAATGCCTGTCTGTCTGCTTTGAAGGTGTCAGTTTGATAGTCAGTGTTTAACAAGCCAAGTGGGTCCTGTCAGATTTCAGCATCTGATCTGACTTTCAGTTCACGTTCACAACTAAAGCTTATTGTATACAGATTTTCAGTAATTAAAGACCAAGTTCAATGAGAAACAGATTTGTTACTTGTTATTTTTCAAATATCAGCGGTCACATGCAGGCTAAACATGAAAATTGTTGTTTCCTGGAAAATAGACGGGGAAACGCGCAGATTAGAAAAGCCAGTGACATTTGAACGTCACATTGAACAATGGACTCACCTATCTTGATTTGCGGTTGGGGAAGACTTTTGCTGATTTTTAGTGTCCAGGAGAGAGCAGAGCATGCCTCAGCTGGTAGAAGCTACACATTAGCATTAGCAGCTAAACAATAAGGCAGAAACCCTCTAGGCTGTTTTACTTGTGGAGATAAAACATCGGCATTGCAAGACAAACGGGTGTCAGTGGTAGAGTCACGTTGCTGTTAGCCAGTTGGAGGCGAGATGTCCAGTTATGTGAATGTAAGACTCCAAATCCTTACTTCCCCTCTGGCTTATTTCTAGTTCCTGAAACAGAAACACCAGAGCTTTTTCCCCACTGAGATCAACTCACAAGGCATTATTTTATACTAGAGACCACTGCAAATGTGTTGAAAAACAAGTGAACTTGGTCTTTAACTTATCAAATTTGACGATGTCAGAAACAAATTAAAGGGATCATTTGAAGTGAGTTTTAGAGTAAAGGTTTTGAATGATCGTCCTACACAGACAATGTTCTGAATGGCCTCCTATAGCAATGGTTGCCAACCTTGTGTCCAAGAGACCCCCCAACACCCACCCCCCCACTCCCACTCGTATTATTGCAGTCTTAAAGTAACAAAACACTATACATTCACTCTTTCCTGTGAAAACTGAGATAATTTTTTTAGATTTTCTTGGCCATTTCATTGTTTTTGATTTCACCATCTTGATGTTTTACAGGACCTGCATATTATCTACTGCCACCTCTACCACATGGATGTCCTCTCCCACCTCAGGGAACATCAGTTAAGGTGAGTTCTTTCACTTTTCATTTTAAAACCAATATTCAGTGCTAAGCTTTGTAACTGTAAAACATTGCTGAAACGTCCATTTTTCATTCAATCGTTATTGAACACCTTGCCCAAAAAAGACAATAAAGTGGTTAAATTAGTTCCTTCTGTGCTTTTTATGATTAGGACTACATTTAATATTAGTTTCTCTTCATATACTCACATTTACAAACTAGGATGGTCTCAAATGCCTCGTTCAGATGTCGTTTCGACTCATTTAAAGAGGAATGAATGATCCTTCATCTCAAAGGAAGGTCTTAACAGATACATCACTCATCATTGGTCTTCCTTTGTGAAAAGAGTAATAGATTTTCAGCTAGTTAAGAAGACACACTCACTGTAAACTAATTAAACAAACAAAATGGCTCAGAGTTGGGCTTGCAAGAGCAAGAAATGTATGGATGTTTCAGAGAAGAAGAAGAAGCTAACATCTTTGCCTGTCTCTCTTAGGTCGATGTGTACCTCAGCCAGGTACGAGAGGTACGAGGCTCACCACATCCTGTTTTAGTAAGTACAAACACTCCTGCAAAAAAAACGCATGTTTGCCCTGATTCTTAATCACAGGCTTTGTCAAACATACATACATCCCAATGATTTTATCATCTAGTAAAGTTTAGTTTCAGCAAAAATCTGATAAAAGCAGATGACTCCAACTCGACGTTTTGTTGTGAGCCGAGGTTAAACGGCTAATTTCTGTTATTTTATCATCATACATCAAATGGAGATGGAGGAGAACTTGGAGAATAAAAGATGAATGACAGACAAATAGGATGAAAGTGAAAGGAGAACAGGGCATCAAATAAAAAGCTGTTGGAAGATTTGATGAAACTCAGAGGAGGAGAGAAAACATGGTGAGAATATGCTAAAGAGGAAGAAGGAGGAAAGAATAGCAATGTCAAGAGGGAGGCAAGATGAGAAATGAGCTGAGAGGAGGAATGAGAACTCGAGGTGGAAGAGGGATGAGGAGGAAGCATCGGCGACGGAGGGAGGACAGAGACGGATGAAAGGATGAGGCAGAGTCTGTGCGTGTTTTTGGCGCATTATCATGCACAGGAGTCACATTAGACACCATCATAATTTACCATCGAATAGACATCCACTCTTTTATTTGTTCTCTAATGCAAGTCTTCATGTGAACTCAGAAAAAATGCAGCTGACATATTCAAATACTCATCTGTTACACACACGAACGCTCGCCGAACAACCGGCAGACGAAAGTGATCAGAGCCTCCTCAACTAACCATGCCAACCTTAGTTTAAATCCTTAACATCTCATCCTTTCTGTTTGCTTTTAAATATGATTCCAGCAAGATTTCTGCTCGATTTTACACCACATTAGAGTGATTGTACAGTTATGCAGCAAAAAGGCTGCTGAGGTTTGGAAAATGACAAAACGATGCAAACATAAACGCAATTTATGGTTTGAGATGAATTTGCCACATTGTTTTCTTTTTAAGTAAAAATTAACTGTTGTGATCTACAATATTTTCCATCCTCAGGAATCTTTACCTTTTACTTTCTGATTTTACACTTAAGTTATTAAAAATAAAACTTTAGATTTTTTTCAACTGTTTATCTTTTCCAGTCCAGAAAGCATCGCTACCTGCTGGTATATTCTGCTGTCAGGATCCGTTTTTGTCAAGGGGCACATGCACCTGGCCAGGTGCTGGTATGTACACACACACACACACACACACACACACACACACACACACACACACACACACACACACACACACACACACACACACACACAGAAAACAGTGGTTAGAGAAGCTGGAGTTATCTGACAACATACGGCGCTTCATAAACTTCAAAGCTTGTCAGATTATAGGTGGTGATGTGTGTACATATTCTTGTGTGTGTTCCTCATCTTATCCGATCACGAGAAACATGACATGTCACCAAACCAAAATTGAAAGTATGAGAAGTCAGATTTTATCAGCATTAGACTAGAAGGAGTTATCTCAAAGTTGATAATAAAATCCGACACTTCGAACACACCGAGTGTTTTAAAATCCCAAAGTCGGTTAACTACGACATTAACCTTAAAAAACAATACATAAACCAAAAAGATCACATAGATCTTCTAAAACACACAAAGGGGGGTTTAAAACAAAGCGTAAGGCCTGGAGAACAGCAGAACCCCTAGACTGCTGCCTCCCAGACTGCTGAAGGCACAGCCTTTTTGTCCCAGGTGTGGGTCGTCAGAGGGATTCATCTCAGCTGTGCTCCTCAGCAGCCTGGAAGAGAGGAGGAGGAGGAGGAGGGGCGGTGCCAGGCTGATCACCAGGGCTGGGTGATCCTGGCTCCTGCATCCACTGTGGCAGTGGCCAGGCTGGTGGCCACAACATGGAGAAAATAACTTTCTTCAACGTCCATCAATCCTCACATAAATTATTATAAATAAAAAAAAAGTGCCAGGTATGTAAGCTCAGTTTTTTCTAGGTCTTAACAGGTGGCGTCCCGACACTCTGAAGTTGCAAGTGTGGAAATCTGGCCACAGAGGGCGGTAGGGGTCAGAGTGATATTTCATTAACCATGTAAAGGGTGATTTTAGCACGTACTGGTTCAAGAAAGTGATTAAAAAAATATTAAAAAGTTGCGTAGTGTCCCTTTAACTGGAACACCCAGGTCAGACACTTCCAAGACTCATCCTGTGTTATCAGGAGATCTCGTTCCGTCAGAATGAAGGCGGTAAAAACACAGTCAGACTGGCACATTGTCAGATACCTTTTTCTCCTGAAATAAACATTTTTTGAGAGAAAACGTGATATTTTATTTCAGCGGTGACTTTCTTATTTTAAATAGAACAACTACAGACCTCCTCCCTCCCGATAGCCCTTCTCCCTTGACAGCAGAAAAAAAAAAGAAATCCAGGAAACGTCTCTCCAGAGGTGTTTTGCTCTTTTAAACCACTGGACATCAACAGTCCTTTTGTGATTTGATAAACTTAACAAAACGTCAGGCTGCCCTCTGTGGATCAGGGAGACCAGTCAGATAGCCAAAAAGTACTTAAAATACCTTGAGCTAATGTGTTGCACCTGTTTAAACACCGAGTCTGATTTAATGAGAAACCGTGACAGCGAGGGCCTGAAGTCCGACCTCCACTCCACTCTGTTGTTATAGTTGGACCGAAACAGAAACAGCTCTTGCCAAAAACCTGAAAGGAGAAAGTAAATACCTTCTGTTTAATGGGATCTTAAAGAACTTTCTGGCCTGTGATGAGGCGCACAAATTGGTCCCAAATTAAGTTTGATGGCTAAAGCTTTAGTCAAACACCAGCATGCGGTCTTCTTAAGCCCAACCAGTTGGGAGGTTTTGTTGGGAAAACACAGTTTTGAGGGTTTTGTCTGAAGAAGAAAATGGTTTGGATGAATCTTCTGCAGATCTCAGCAGAACTTACAGCTGTCAAAATGGTTACATATCTATTTTGGTTTTCAGCAGTTTCTCTCAGCCAGCCTTGCCGCTGGATGCATCAGCGGCACGTAACAGACTCGTTTTACCCATGATCGCCCTTCCCAACAGGAGTGTTTCAGACACGAAACAGAAGCAAAAGCGTTTTATGCAGCTAGTCCTGCGAGGCCGTGTAATGACTAGACTGCGTCATCATGCATGATTTTTGCTGTTCATGAATAACCAGTAAGGAGAAAGATGTGTCCAAAAAAGTCTTTGGTTAATTTTCTGTTCTGTACTTCAGCTACGAAAGTGTCACAGGAAATGACGTACAATTTTTTTTAACAGTTCATCAACTGGAAATCTGCACTTGACCTTTATTTAAAAAGTTTCTGAATATTACTAACTTGCTTCCCAATCCAAACTGCTGAGCTTGATGCGTTCTGGAAGTGTAGCGTGTAAAAAAAGAGATTTGAAGCATGAATTTAGCGGAGCGGCGTGTCGCTACGCCTCTGGGATGTGTTGCAGCCGGTGGAAACCAAAGACTGTAGAAATACTGGACAAACTCACCTTGACGGTTTATTTAGGTTTGAATTAAGGCTGAATGGGCGGTTCCGATAACCGCCATCTTGGCCGTGCCACAAGTCTCTCAATGCTCAGACAATCCACAAAATTGGGCAAAGAGGTGGAGTTGAGAGCAAATCTCTGAGGATCATGTCAGCCAATACTTTCATAGCTACTAGGCTTTTGGGTGCTTTTTGACAGAAAAACTCAGTTGAGTGACTCCCAAGTGAAGTACGCATCAACTCACCAAGCTGCAGAGTTTCTGTGGTCTCCCTCAGAGGGCTCCACAGGCAGTCAACACGACTATCCTCGCATGGGAGCCGGGTGATTGTGACGCTCGGCTAACTGCTGCATACTACGCCTCATAGATCTTACACGACACTTACCGTATTTTCCAGAGTATAAGTTGCACCAGCCATAAAATGTATAATGAAGAAGAAAAAAACATATATAAGTCGCACTGGACTATAAGTCGCATTTTGGGGGAAATTTTATTATTTTTCTTACAAAATCTGAGACCAAGCATTTCACATTGCAAGACAAGTACCGGTAACAATGACAGAATAAACAATCAGGGTGCAGCAGTGCGCCACGGTCTCCAGCAGAGGATGGCGGTGTTTCAAACCCTCCCAGCGGGCAGGGAGAGCACCCGCAGCACCCCGCCACAGGCTGCAGCAGGTCATGGCGGTGTTTGAAACCCTCCCAGCGGGGCAGAGGAGCTGAAACCTGGACTGGAGTCGGCCTGCAGCAGGACGCAACGGTCTCCAGCAGGTGATGGCGGGGCAGGGGAGCTCATTCCTGGTCCGGAGCGGCCCGCCGCATCATGGTATACATAATTTGGTATGTTAGTCACGTTGGTATACAAGTCGCAGGACCAGCCAGACTATGAAAAAAAGTGTGACTTATAGTCTGGAAAATACGGTATGCGTCCGATGGAAAGTCCCGGTAGGAGGGCATAGCAGCACGATTAGAAACATCAAGGAATTTTTGAGTTCCAGAAGCACTCCTTCCACGAACAAGTCAAAATTATTCCCAGAACTAAAATAAACGTGATTTGTTTTTTATTTCTAAGTAGAACCAAATGGCTTAGCAGAAGCTCCAACCTTGCTGCCTCGTGTTTTATTGTTATTGTGACATTTAGTGACTAATCTGAAGTTGAAGCAAGCAGCTTTTGCCGTTATAAAAATCCAAGGTTATTTGGATCACTACTAAACAATGCAGAAAAAAAAACTTTGTTATTCATTTGGCGACTTCCTTGTTTCTGTTATCTACTTCCAAGAAAAACTTCTCCAAAATAAGCAGACCTGAAATTTAACCGTAACAGTTGCTGTCACTTTGACGGCTGTTGCTGCTGATTTCTGTTGAATGATAAGCTGTGGTTGATACTCTGACTCTACTCACACACCATTTCATTTTGTGCGTTTTAAATTGTGCATAAAGTAAAAAAAAAAAAAAAGAGCGGATCACTAAAGATTTTTAAAAGGATTTTTACTTTTCTTTTTGTGTTTTTTTCTTTTTATTTTAATGGCTGAATTGTAGCAGAGAGGAATTGGTCCTGTAACCTCAGGGCAATTTGTGTGTGTGTGTGTGTGTGTGTGTGTGTGTGTGTGTGTCTGGGTGGTGACAGGGTTGTTGTTGTTGGTGCCCTGCAAAAAATAGATGCATGTGTTGTAGTTCTAGTAGCAGCGTGGGGGTTTGGAAAGGGTCACAGGGGAGGCTAATTGGTGTGTGTGTGTGTGTGTGTGTGTGTGTGTGTGTGTGTGTGTGTGTGTGTGTGTGTGTGTGTGTGTGTGTGTGTGTGTGTGTGTGTGTGTGTGTGTGTGTGTGTGTGTGTGTGTGTGTGTGTGTGTGTGTGTGTGTGTGTGTGTGTGTGTGTGTGTGTGTGTGTGTGTGTGTGGAATGCGGAACCCCTGTCATAGCAGTGGAAGGCCATGTGTTCATGAGCAGCCTGTCCGCCTGGAGCCCAGAAGCACATCCAGGCAGGAAATGAGCACACTCACTCACACACGCACGCACGCGCGCACACACACCTTGTTGGAGCCAGCAGACAGAGAAGTGAACAGAGAGAGAGGGAACACACTCCTTCCTCTGTTAAAGCTCAACTCAAAACCTGGTAGTCAGCTAGTTCTACTTTCTGAGGGAATGCCTTTCTTTCACACGGAGCACAAATCAAACCTGCTTGGATCGGATTCTGGATTTTTCCCAAAGTGAAACTTCCCCTTTGTGTGTTTGTGGATAATATGCGGAATATCAAAAGGAGTTCAAAGACGTTGCTGTTCCTGGTTAGTAAAGTTTTTTTTAATGTTTTCTTCCCTTTCAATCCGGCTTTCGAGCTACCAGTTGAGTCATTTTTTTAAAACTCCCTCGCTTTTTCTTCATGCGGTCCTCATCCCTGCATGTTTCTTTTCCTGCCCTTCCATCATTTAAACAACTGGAAAGCCTAGAACTCCCTGCGGAGTTCTGACAGGATAACAGAAAACCGCCGGGCCTCTTAACTCTGCAATCACAGCACCAACTTCTGTGTGCCGTCATGTTTCTCTCTGCTCCGATTCTCATAAAGAGAAGCAGCAACATTTTACATGTTTAAGCTAGCAGCTATTGTGTCAATGGAGCTCAGTCGATGGCTGATTTAGGGGAAATTACTCACGATGAATGGGGCAAATGAAGAAAAAGAGAAAATGTTTCTTGTTTTCAAATGGATGCAACAAT